GGATCTATTCATGTATCAAATTATTTATGTGTATGAAGCTACACCCAGAAAATGGTTAGCTTAGCTTGAAAAGAATAAACAGCTATGACACCACTCCACCCTCAGTCCCATCAATCTCTTGCAGCAATGGATGCTTGTACAGCATCCATTGCTGCCATAATCTGCATAGACTATAATGCTCTTTCACATGATTAAAAGTGCATTAAAGTACTCCATGCAGCAAATTCTCACGAGCCTATTAAAATCCCTGTGTGATTCATGGGGACTGTAAGTTATGACAATTGATCACAAACAGCTAAACCAATCCCGTCTACCACAGTGGCTCTGATATAAAGTTCCATAATCCACAACTCTATTATCTTCCAGTACAGTGGGACTGGAGGAGAGAAACCGCTTTAAGTCCCATGACACTGCAGTCAATGGGCTCCATTATCTTCAAATCCAATCTTTTCAATGCAATTTTCCTTGGGTAAAAGTCTGCTTTTTGTGTATTGGCGTGTTTGGTATTTTTCTGCCATGAATGAATGCGCTTATGCTGAGGTGGGAGGAGAGGTGCAGCCGAGGCCGTGCTTATGCTGATTAGGCAATGCAGTGCATTTTGCTGCTCATTTTGACCTGAAATTCCATTAAGTTGTGGGTAACTTATGCTTTATAATTGCTGCTGGTTACAGGACCAGAATCATTTTTTCTTCCATGCATAAAGCATGCAAACACATTTATGTGCAATATTTATGCAATAAATATTTTTTCATCAGTAATTGCTGGGAGAAGAAGAAACAGGGAAAGACCCTTTCATCGCCACATCATATATATTTTCATGTCAGATGAAGAATGCTGACAAAAGCTGCACCTCTCTAAAAACGTGATTGATTGTGTGTGTCGGCTTGATGTAGATGAGGTCATGGTGACTTTGCACTTCACAGACAAGTATCTCAGTTTCTTCATGAAAGTCTTCTCTGACAGAGCTGCTCCAGATTAGCATCATAACATCGGTGACATCAATCAAAGTCAGGTTTCCTGCTGTGAGGAACTGGTATGATTGGCCATTACTGAAGCCTGCCCTGACTCCATCTGCTCATGATGCATTCTTCCCACTAAAGATTTATTCAGCCTCTCCTTCACTTTGTACCTGGGTGCACCTGGCCGCACACAATATGCACCGATGCCGGTGGTCACCAAATTGCCACCAGATGTGCTTTTATCTGGAGTTTAGATTTACGTTTGCCTCTGTGCCCCGTTTCAGGAACAGAGAGCCCAGCGTGTCTTACAGCGTGTTTCACACATTACAGAAAACAACAAAATGGAGCCCTTTCTGTACTAACATTCCCTCATACCCCATTCCT